AACCAATTAATGATAGGTCGAATCAATTGGACTAGATTAAAAAAAAAGAAAAAAGTTTATATAAGGATGCTACCTTATAATGTAGAACTACGGATGCCCTTAAAAAATCCATCAGAAAAAGGTAGTTTTAATGTTGAAAAACCCTTTGATTGATCATCTCGACATCGAGATGTATGACTATGAAAAATAAAAAGAATTTAAGTTTCAGAAATAGTGTATTTTACAACATATTATCAACACCGTCCATTTTCAAGATTTTCATATGTTTATAGATCTACTTGATTTTTTCCATTTTTGAAATTTAAAATTTTATAATTAAATATAAAAATAGATTTTGAGATAATCCTAAGAACATTTTACATCAAAATTATATACCATAATAAAATTTGAAGGTACACCTTACCTCTACACTTACGAATGCATCTATATGGTAGTTTAAAAATATAAAACATGTTGTCCAAAAGTTACCTAATACTCTTTAGTTGGCTGAATCAGTCAAAATTTACTAAACATTAGTTTTTATCAGTTTTCAATCAAATGTAGCATTTTATTCCAATCAAACTAGCCCGGGCATCGGTTGGCCATCAGATAGGCCAAATCGAGCGATCCGGCCGGATCCTGATAACTATGTTACCATATTTGAGGAATGGAACCTCCGTAAGCTAGCAACCCTTTGAGAAAGAAAAAAAAATCATCCATCACTCTTGTTTGTGCTTCATAAATATAATAACCTAAAATTGAACAAAGACCTCGAGATTTTTAACCATTGTATTTTAAATTTGAAGTAGTCACGGTTTTGGTTCTTTGTGATTCTAAAGTGAAGCTCTAAATTTTTATTGAAGAAAAAACTCCTAAATAGCTCTTTTGCCTGATAGCTTAAGTATACAAGGTGCTCCCTAAGGAGCAAGCCATGCAAAATGAAAAAAAGAAGAAAAATAGCCGAGCAATTGAGGAGAGATTGCAAAACAAAATGCCACCATCCATTCAGGAATATGACTTGACAAACAATCACAGGTTCCTCCCTAGTAACATGGACTGCAATTAACTTGCAATCTTTACTCCTTTTGATGGAGATTATTACATCTCTCTCTCGGATGAAATCTATTAACTTGGACCCTCTCTCATTTTGAAATTTATAAACATGCAATGTCTCTTTGCATATATCTTTTACGCTCTCTCTAGACTTACAGCATAGGTTTTTTCAGAGTAAATCAGTGGAGATGATGAGCCCTTTAACCAGTAATTTTTTTTTTTTTTTTTGTTTTTCAGAGAAGTTCACATGTGGTTACATGTACAAGCATTCACAACCCTTTCAAGGGGGATATGCTGCATGTGCTAGTGAACAGTTGTCTGTGCTCTTTAGAGAGAGAGAGAGAGAGAGAGAAGGCATGTCTGTTTCAGGAAGGAGGAGACATAGAGACCATGGCTGAGGAACATCCACTTTATTATGTTGTTCTCTCTCTTGCAGAGGGAGAGACAGTGGTATACCTTAGGCCTTAGAGTGGTAACCCTTTTCTTGTTCTAGAGAGAGTGTGATCTCTAATGCTATGGTGATGGTGAGTTGGCCGCTTTTGATAAAGGATAAGGTTTGTATAAGGTTGTCTCTTTTAACTGTAACATCAATAAAATTTATTTAGAGATGCCGTTTTTATGTCGAAAACTGTGGAAATCTCTTTTCATACCTACTTATAAAATTTAAAATTTCAAAAATCATATAGATCAAGTAAATCAAGAAACATTTGAAATTCTTGAAAATTTAAAATTTTAAAAATTATATAGATCAAGTAAATCAAGAAACATTTGAAATTCTTGAAAATAGATGGTCTAGATAACTTGTTATAAAATACACTATTTTTTGGATTTAAAATTTTTTTATTTTATTTATGCTCATTCATCTCGATGTCAAGATAATCACTTGGCAGGTTCTCCTACACCGGAACAATCTCTTTTGTAGGATTTCTGAAATCCACCTTACTTCAACAGTGTAAAATTGCAGCCGTATATAAACTTTTTCCTTTAATAATTAAACAGTGGAGAACTAATTAAATGCGTTTGTACCGTCATCAGGTGGCACTTTCACAGCATTCTTTATAACTCATGGCCTACTTTCCCATATATTTTTACTCTAAAAGATTCCATGTGTTTCACCTCCTCAAAAACTAAAATGAAATCCATAGGCGTGCACTTCTTTTAGTTTTAAAGGGCTAAAAGATAATAAATAAAAAAACTACAAGCGTCATCATCATCATTATTATTATTATTAATTTACTACTACTGGTATTATTACTACTATTATAAATCATAGAAATAGAAAAATTGGTGATTATTATTATTACTATTGCTATAACTATACATTTTATTTAGTTATTTATTTACTACTACTATTATCTATAAAGGAAGGTAGAGAAGTCGAAAACATAGTAAAAGTGAGTGTTATTTTTTCTTACGAAGTAAGCTAAAAGTCATAATTTACCATAAGATAACTATCATCTAAAAGAAGATGGAGAAATGCTAAAAATAGTAAAAGTGGGTGATATTTGTTTCTTACAAAGCAAGCTAAAAGTCATATTCTATCATCAGACAAGGAAGCGCGAAACAAGGAATGTTTCTTAAATTTTGTTATCCTTCCTTCGACCTACATCATCATGCATTAGGGTTAGATACCATTTCAAAGCTACAATCAATTACTATTCATGCGCATTAAAAAATAAATATATATTTTAAAAATAAAAAAAAATCACGGACATGAGCACGTGACACATGTCGCATGATTGGCGTAGTGTTGTCGAAGCTGACGGCTCTAACTCGGCATATTCTACTTACCAGAAAAATTCCCCGATCCATATAAAACTAAGAGATTGGCTATTAAGAGGCCATTTATTTTTATTATAATGAGGTCACAACTATTCCCACTCATTAGATGTCAAATTAGATGGTTTAGGGTGAGTCACAAAGTTTCATATTTTTTTTGGAACTTTTTGTCTATTTAATGACATCTTTTCAACTACCCATTTTGAAATTTAATAACAAATGTGATTATGACCTCCTTATATAAAAGATAAATGCATAGCAAATACAGGGTGATTATGACAATCCCTAAAGTTAATATGATTTATTGCATAGCAAATACAAGTTTTTGGTAAGTGAACTGAATCACGCATCCTCCCTAGTTTTTTAAGGATTTGAAGACCCAAAACACATTCCAAATTATCGTATTTCTGTCGCATGCCATGAATTTGTCATCCAAAAATAGTACAGGTCTCATGATATCTTAAAAATTGATAGGAATATTATACATGTATTTCCATCACAAATCCAGATATTTAGACCTCCAAATATTGCAGATCTAATAATCTCTAAAGAATTGAGATGACCAATAAAAAAAATAGAAAATAGACCACTCCTAAATCCTTTAATTTTCTTCTTCAGATTTATAATTATTTTTTATTCCAAAATCCATCTCCAAAATGGGTTTTTGGGAAGGGATCCAATCCCTATCATTTATTAGAGTGACTACCTTTCATTATGAACAAGTGGTCCCATAACTTATGAAGGCCTAGATTTTCTTGCTATATATTATGACATTGCATTTAAACCATTAATTTGAGGACACACTCTAAATAGACTTTATTCTAAAAGTGGAGAAGTTTTTAATTGAATAGCACGCCACAATCGTCCCTTTGCAATTTAAGAGACTTCTACTAACTCTATAGAGGCCCTTATATGCCATTGGTTGGCCTTGGATCCACCCCCTCTATAAAAAGCCAAGCCAAGAAGAACAAGCAAAGGTACCCATCAAAACCTAAGTATATGGATATATAATTTCCGTTTAATATCTCTTATAATGGATGAAATTTAAAAAATGTCACACATTTAATACATTTTACACTCATTTCTCTTTTTGTGTGTGTATGTTTTTTTTTTTCTCAAAATACATATCTAGGAAATATTGGTTCTGGACCATTTTGATTTTTTGTAAAAAATCTAAATGGTTTGGATCTGGACCATTTTGATTTTTAGTAAAGAATCTAAATGGTTTGGAACTATGAGTGCCGGACCGCTTTGATTCAATGAGCGGTTGAGAAATAATAATTTTGGATCACTTTGATTCCTTATAATGAGCTATCTCAAACGGAGAGTTCCGGACGACTTCTATTTCTTTAGTCCCAAGCCACTTTGGATTCCTTACCGTTCTGGATCGCTTTAGTTCCGAACTAACACGCGAGTGTAAAATGTAACAAATAGAGGATATTATTGAATAGCGTTTGCAAACTTGGCTAGTTCCAGCTTGGAATCGGGCACTGGCTGATCTAGTTAATTCACAAAAAATATATAAAATTCCAAAAAAAAAAAGGATTTGTTTGAAATGTATTTTTGAATTTTTTTTATCATTTTAATAAAGATTGGAAAGCGTTTTGGACATCAACACTTACTTTTACATTTTGTCATTTTTTTTGTAAAATTTCAAATATACCTCTAGACAAATCGATTTTTTAAAATATATTTTTTTAACTACTTTTCAACTTCATTCGGATGTGGTTTGTTTAATCATGTTTTAAATATAATGTTTATATTTTAAAAAAAAAAATTATATTTTTTATTATTTTAAAAAGTAAAAAAATACTTTTCAGACCGGCTAGGACCTAACCGGTTAGACCGGTTGAACCGCCCGATGTATTGGTTACTCAGACCCAGCCCTTGCCCGGTTTCTGAGGGCATTCAAATTTTTGAGCAATGTTATTGAATATCACAAAATTAGGATATTTTAACAAATTTCCCTAAAATTTGTCTTATAATTTATTATGTGACTATTATATTATCAAGATAGTCAGATGCATAGCAGTTATTTATAATTAAGAGCTATAATTCCTCAAATCTCAAACCTTAGTTAGTACTAGGAAGCAATCTTTGCTTTTACAACCTATATTTCTTTGGGGCTCTGCAGTTGAAAAGCGTCTTTTCTCTCTCTCTATTTCTACCTAGGAAGATTGGAGTAGACGATGAGTTTGAAGGGTATTGAGGGCAAGCTTCCTCCAGGGTTCAGGTTTTACCCTAGGGATGATGAGTTAGTGTGCTACTATTTGTGTAATAAGGTTGAGAAGTTGCCATCCTTGTGCACCATGGTTGAGGTTGATCTGCACAACTGTGAGCCATGGGAGTTGCCTGGTATGTTCTCTTACATGCCTGTTGCTCTCTCTCTCTCTCTCTCTCTCTTTCTCTCTCATTCATTTTAGAAGATTTTGAAAGTTTTTATTCATCATCATCTGCAATCACCATCATCGTTGTTCTCGGAGTTCTCTCTCTCTCTCTCTGAGTAACATGTATCACATAAAGTCATACATGCGACCCGAATAGGAACTAAAACAATTGACATGGCCGAATCAAAACATCATATATTACACTGCTTCTCTGTGATAGATGCTGCTGAATTGAGTCCAAAGGAGTGGTACTTCTTCACCATCCGTGATCGAAAATATGCGACCGGCTTCCGCATGAACCGGGCGACTTCAGCCGGATACTGGAAGGCCACTGGAAAGGACCGACCCGTGATTGAGGATGCAACACAGTCTCCAGTCGGGATGAGAAAAACGTTGGTTTTCTATCGAGGCCGAGCGCCGAATGGGTGCAAAACAGATTGGGTTATGCATGAGTTCCGGCTCGACAACTCAGAGTTCCCTCCTAAGGTTATTGCTAATAACCCTTTAACTAGATACATACATATATACATATGGGATTGTATACAATACGACCATTTGTCTTTGGTATAAGGAGGTCATAATTACTTATAACTATTTCGTGTAACTTATAACTTATTGGGGAATGATTTCATGCAAAGATTGTCTAATAGTATAATACAACCGCACCTCTAGAAAACTATGTTTTTGGCATTTGTATGACCCCAAATTTTGTTCACACATTCTTTTCATCCTCTTAATCATTCTTACGTAGAAAAAAAATTCAATTTGCACCCTAGATATGGTCAAAATTAGTACCCTCCAACAATGAATTTCAACAGTCCATTTGGTGAATTTCAAGATCTAGACAAATTCAAAATCACTTTTTTCTTTTTTAGCATTGTTAATTTAATGATGATAAAGCTATTTAAAAATTTTGGGAATAAAAAAATTCTTATTAGGACTATATCTAACCATGTCATAAAATGGACAGCTTATATTAATTGAGCTAGAAAAACACTTTCTGTGACATTTTTTTTCAAAATTTTCCTTCTTGTGATTGTTCTTTAGATTTAAAAGAATGTACATTTAAAAATTTGTATCAAACAAATGTCTCTAACATGGTATTTGAAGATAGTTGCATTATACTACTATACAACTGTTGCATTAAATCATTCCCCTATAACTATCTCATGTGATCACAAATTTTGAAAACATTTATTTTGAACTTTGAGCTTTGTCAATAAAATAAATGCAACCACTTAATTTCAAATCCAATAGTCAAGATCAATTGTGACCGTGTTGTACAAAAAGTAAATAGTCTCCTTATATACTTTCCCTATATATATATATACATTTAAGTTGTTTGTTTTTGTTAAGTACATATGTGCATAATTACATGGGAAATTTATGCGTGGACTTAAAACAAGATGTGCTACTATAAAGTGATCGATATTTTGAGTCATTTTATTGTAAAGTCTTAAATTTGCAACTTTTTTATTTATATTTTGCTTCAAGTTTGAAAGTCCAACTTTTGAACCACCTAAAATAACATAAAGGCCTTGTTTGAAATTTTCAAAAAGTTCAACTTTCAAACCATCTAAATACTTCAATATTTTTGCTTTTTGGGCAGTCAAGGAGTTGGGTTTTGAATTAGGGTTAAAATAGGACTAAAAAAATTGAAAATTTAGAACAATCACCCTAAAAAGGCCCAAATATGGATCAATTTATAAATCTGCATCTTATTTTGGGTCAGTATGTAAATATACCTAGATACATATATACATAAAGAAAAATAGTTTCATAGGGTTGTGGCCCTATTAAAATAAATAATGACTTACCTCATAACTCATCAAAAATCGTGATTCAAACATTGAAAAATGTTTACATTGATCATCTTGAATCGAACATTATGGTTGTGAAAAAAAAATTAGGATTTCAAGCTCTAAATATAATGTATATTGTAATAAATTATGTAGACAGCCCATTTCGATCTATTCGGCGTATACCAGTTATGCAACAGTAATGTGAGGGATGTATAAGACACTTGTAAAACTAAATAGTGGGCATTTATTAAATATAACGGTTATTAGGCAATAACGTAATATCCGTTTTGCCATGTTCTAACTATCCAAAATAACGGATGTTGTTGTGCTAACCATTTTTTCCGTTTGTTGGCGAAGAATGGCTTGTTTATATATTGTTTTTTAGGATTTAGATAAAGGAAAAGATAAAAAGCGACCACTTACTTTTCAGTCAAGGAGGTCAGAATTACTTATATTTGGCATATTTTGAATGGGGTGGTTGCAAGTGTATCATGATCGTACGGTGAACTTTGGACGGTGATAAGCGTAGGTGAAATCACTATTCTAACGGTTAAGAGTGATTGTAATTTTATTGGATATGTGTGATGTCGGTTTTATCCATTAGCTTTGTATTAATGTATGGTTAACAAAAGGTGTCAACCTTAAATAATCAAAGTATGGCCACTTTCAAACTCGGCTAGGAGATGTTCTAGAGCTAGAAATCCCTATAATGGCTTGAAAATTTATTTCATATCTAATTATAAAATTTAAATCTCCAAAACTAGTATGAATTAAATATATTATAAACTCTTAAAAATCTTGAAAATGAACAATCTAGATAATATGTTATAAGAAGCACTATTCTTAGGACTTGAACTCCTTTTTATTTCATATCCATCAATCCGAACTTGAATGATCAATCTGAGAGTCTTCCAGCATCATAGCAACCGTTTTTTATAGGTTTTTATGGTGCGACTTACCTTTGTAGAACAAGGTTAATGCCTTCTATAAATCTTTTTCTTTCAAATACATCACTACTTTTGTCATTGAAACCCACATTTTACATTTCTTATGTTACATACTAGAAACGGCCTTTGTGGCCATTATGTACCGTTGTAACGGACTTGGAAACCTCGATACTATGCCGATACAGATCCATCCATGGTTCAATGAACTCAAGCATAGAAATTCATATAATTGAATATGTGCACTCATGAAATTCATATGCATGTCCGAATATGCATGCAAGCATGATGCGGATTGTATAGAGCCGAGGCTCTAAACAATCACATTAGAGCCCACCTTCAATTAGTGTCAAGACATGTGGTTTCAACACTGGAAATATATGACTAGCCTTAAAATATATTTTTATATTTAATTATAAAATTCTAATTTTCAAAAATAGCGTAGATCAAGCAGATCTATGAAAACTTGAATAACTTAAAAACTGACTGTCCAAAACTTTGTTACAAGATGCACTATTTCCAAAACTTGAAATTCATTTTTTTTCTCAAGCCCATGCATCTTGATGTCAAGATGATCAATTTGAAGATATTTGAGCATCAAAACAATATCTTCTAGTGAAAGTTTTTAGGTAGGCTCTAATTTGATTGCTTAGAGCCTAGGCTCTATATAAACTTTTCCCCGTCAATAATTGGTTGCGACTTGTGAGATTTCAATTATTTGCCCTTGGTTCTCCTTGCCTAAACCCAATTATATCACATATTATATAGACCTATATATATTATTTTTCTATTTTTGGGGTCTTCTCAAATGCTTTTGTTTCATTGATCCATGCCTATTTAGCATGGACAGGTCTGTTTATGGTTTTTATGCATGTCGATGTATTGAAGAAATGATATTTATGACTGACGTTTTAGAAACTCAAATATTCTTAATTTATCTTTTTTTTTAATCGTACAGTAAAAATACTTTATATCACTTAAAATCTCACAATTTTTTTTTCTTCGAATAGTGTCTTGTCTAAGAGCACAATTTTACAGTTGATGTTTCAAACACTTCTATCGATGTTGATGCTAACTCATGTAATTTAAGGGCTGCAAACCTCTAGGGACAATATTTTGGGTGTGCTTTTTTTGGGTAGAAAGTTTGATTTCAGTATAGGAAAGTATAGAATGAGACCATTTACTTTTGATATAAGGTGATTACAATTAATCGTGACCATTATATGTGAAATTAAATGATTGCAATTATTTCATTGATCATGCTTAAACTTCAAAACAAATTTTTTCAAGTTTTGGGGACACATCCAACCAATCAGATTTCATATCTGATGGTTGTAAGTAATTATGACCTGCATGTATCAAAAGTAAATAGTCTCATTGTATGCAATCCCTTATGTTTAATGGCTGCAAACCCTATCTAGGGTTTTGGGTCTTCTCTTTTTGAGGAGAAAGTTTCTCTTGGGTATTCTCAAAACTCAAATGCTTTTCTTTTGGTTATGAAAATTTCAATGCCCAAGGAATCGAGCTTGAGTAGTTAGCCGTTGTGGCTTCCATTTCTATTGACAATTTTAAAAACCACTAACTAATTCAACAACAAGTAGGAGCTTATCATCCCTACTTAATTACCCAAAAAGAGTTCAATTGCTGCCCCAAAAACAAAAACGAACCAGGAAGGCGCCTAAAAAACAGAAAATGAGACCATCCCTTGAAGTTCTTCTTCTTTTCTAACTGACTTTGCATTTGTGGCAGGAGGATTGGGTTCTATGCAAAGTGTTCCACAAAAATAGAGGAGAACATGTTAAAGTTAGCATGGATATGGGAAAGGGAAATGGACATATGGGTTGCCCTTGCATCCCTGGGTACTCTTATTCATCTCCAAATTTGGAGCAAGATCTGCTAAACCTAGATGGGTGTCACCAAGTCTCATGCTTCTCCAATCTCTCATGCCCACTAGAGGAAACTCCAAATACCCAGCTAAATTTAGCTGAGCTCCACTATAATTTCATGGAGTTTGCACAATTGGAAGACCCAATGCTATGCAATGAGATAGTCCCCTAAAATGGACGCAAATTCTAGTTCATAATATGGGTTTCTCTGAAACTACCAGTCCTGGCTTTAGTTAGAAATCATCTTCTATATTTTGGAGGCAAGATTGGCCTTTGTACATAAATTATTCAATTATTCTGAATTTGGTGTACATGATGCCTTGTTGTATTGAGGAAAAGAAAAGAAGTGTTCATTTGTGTTAACAATATAGGAAATTGTAGAGAAGGAGAGATTCATATGTGATATCTCATCTCATCCATCTCATTGGAGAGAGAGAGAAAGAGAGTTTAGATCAGTGTTCGAAAAATTGAACCGGCCTCGGAAACGAGCCAATTGATTGGGAGGTTTTGAGTAACTGGTAAACCGGGCAGGTCTTGATTGGTCCAAAAAATTTAAAAAATATAAAAAAATCTAAAAAAATACGAAACTTATATTTAAAGTATTATTAAACAAAGCGTTGAAAATGAGTGAAAAAATGGGTTTTAAAAAATCGATTTGTGCCTAAACATATTTTTAAAAATTTTCAAAAAAATAGAAAAATGTAAAAATATGTAATCATGGTCAAAACACTTTCCAATCTTTGCCAAAATGATAAAAAAGAAAAAATTTAAAAATACATTGCAAACAAAAAATTTAAAAATACATTGCAAACAAATGCCTTATATTTGGGGAGTTAATGTAAATTTTCAATTTTTTTTAAAAAAAAAAACCTGCCGGGCCACCAAAAACCAAATTGGCTAGTGCCCGGTTTTGGTTTGACAGGCCGGTTCTGAGTTGGACCGGCTGAGTTTGCGAATTACTAGTTTAGATTGCCAATCTAGAATGAGAGAGAGAGAGAGAGAGCTCCTACTCAGAATCCTATACAAACCTTCACATCATTTTATGCTTTTCCATAATCGTGACCTTGTTTCAAGCCGAAGAAAACTACAAATATATCAGTTCCAGTTGAGTTGTAATAGAGGGTTAAAGACTTGAGTCCTGTTGTTTAACTTTTAAACATTAATTTGAACTTTCTTCCTTGGGTAGTAAGAGGTTCAACACCTCAAAAATAGGTGTTGAAATAATGAGCAGCCTGTAGAATAATTAAAGGGTGCTGAAATAATGAGCAACCTGCAGCATAATTAAAGGGTATGGTTTCTATAAGGTTGTAACCTTAAACAATCCAATTACGGTGCACCTCCAAATTTTATGATGTAATTTTGGTGTAAAAAATTATTAGGATTATCTCAAAATCTATTTTCATATCTAACTACAAAATTTTAAATTTCAAAAATAGTTAAAATCACGTAGATCTATAAACATATGAAAACTTGAAAATAGACTTTTTAGATAATGTGTTGCAAGATACACTGTTTTTAAGATGTAATTTTTTATTTTTTTTTTCATATTTATATATTTCGATGTCGAGATAATCAATTAGAGAATTTTTCAATATTAAAATAACTTTTTCCGATGGATTTTTAAGGTGCATCCGTAATTCTACGTTTTAAGCTTTCAACCTTATATAAACTTTTTTCATAATTAAATGTTTAATTCCTTCTTCAAGCTTTGGTATAAACTTTCTCTTACCTCATTTCTAATTTGTGGATTACTTTCTAATTGGCTACTTTGGTATCCTTTGTTTCCTGTACTTCGTTTTCTTCCTTATTATTTATTTATTACTTTCTTGTCATGCTCAAGTTCATTTATTCTCCTTTGGGTCTCTATGATTTTCTAAAACTTATTTTTTATTTTTCATTTTTATTGTCTTTTTTCATTTAGTCATGGGTGGCAATGGACCTAAACCTAACCTCGGACACGAGGGGTAGACCCGATCAGGGTCTAGTTATGGGTCTAAAAATTGGTCCCAGCATGTTAGGTCCAAGTCCAAATCTTGGACCCCAAACACTATTCGAGTCCGGGTCCCTGTCCGATGGGGTCCAGTCAGGTTTGGGTCTGATAATATTTTTCAGGTCCCGATATATGAATGCATTTAAATATAATTAAATACATATATATTTTTATTTTTGGGTTGGATCCAATCGGGTCCAGGTCCCACACTATATTTTTGGGTCCAGGTTAAGGTCCGGTGAATTCAGATCCGCATCCGGGTCCGCCACTCCTAGATTTAGTGCTTTTGTTTTCTATATTTCTGAAATTTTTAGTTTTTGGATTGCCGTGCCTCTCTCTCTCTACCTCTCTCTCTCTCTCTCATGAAACTCTACATTGATAGGTGAGAAGTCCTTTCTAAAACGACCAAAGGTAGCTGGTAGATAGCTTTAACACAATTATTATTAATCTTATGTGGAAAGAATACAAGGAAAAAACAAGAAAGGGAAGTAGTGACAATAAGAATGTTTAATCTCATAAAGAAATTGCAAGTGAGAATTATGAGGAGCTGGGACCATAGTCACCTTATTTTCTATATAGTTTAAATATCATTCTATTATTCATGAATGTGATCTTCTTTTTTTTTCCTTTTTTTTTTTCTTTTTTTTCCGTTAATTCGAACTTGGGATGTTAGTGTTGCAATTTCAATTCTTTAAGCAATCATTCTGAACCCTAAAATGCATTGACAAATTAGGGATTGTCTATAAAGAGACCATTTATCTTTTACACATAGAGGTCACAATCATTATTACTTATTTGATATCAAATTGGATAGCTTGAGGTAAGTCACGAAGTCCAAAAATTTTTTTTTTTTTTTTTTAACTTTGTGTATATTCAATGATACTCTTACAACCACCCACTTTGAAACTTAAGAGACTCGAACGATTGTAACCTCTATGTACAAAAGATAATGGTCACTTTGTAGACCATCTTTATCTGTTAAACCCTATGTAAGAGTATTCTTAAGACGCCAAATTTTGAAAATGGAACCTCCTCAACTTAGCACCAACTTCACAAAAAAACAGATATGATAATTGTCAAGTTGCTCCTAAAATTTAAAATAAAAAAATCTTCCGAAGTATGCCGTTTTCCACGAAGGAGAAGAGTGTAATGTGCTCCCATGGAGTATACTACACATGCTCCACTTTAAAATACCATCAAGTTAACTTATTTATTATGATTGTATACTATGCTCAATAAAGAGCATGCAGTAGTATGCTCCTAGCGACTGTGTACAGACCAGTAGACCATTATGGTACCTACATAGGGTATGTGATTGTCTACGGTTTCACTTATGGAAAAAGTTTATATGACGTTGTAACCTTAAAATATAGACGGAAAAGATTGTGTTAATGTTGAAAAATCTTCTAATTGATCGTTTCGATATCGAGATATAAGAATATGAAAAAACTTAGACTTTGAGTGCAAGAAATAGTACATCTTGCAACACATTATCTAGACCGTCTGTTTTCAAAAAATTTATATGTTTATAGATCTACTTGATTTTAACTATTTTTTAAGTTTAAAATTTTATAATTTAATATGAAAATAGATTTTGAGATAATCCTAAAAAATTTTTACACCAAAATTATATATTATAATAAAATTTAGAGGTGCATCTTAATTGGATTGTTTAAGATTGCAACTTTATAGAAAGCACACCCTTCACTTATTCGTATTTCAAAGTTGTCAAAATGCCCTAGGTGATTCTAAATATCATTGGTTCTATGTGTGTACGAGTAGGTGTACGTGTGTGTGTGCATGTGCGTGTGCATGTGCGTGTACGTGTGCGTGCTCATCTATATCTTAGCGCCTGCGTATTTGTCAGGAGTGTATGTTTTAACCCCGGTGTAAAAGGCTGATGTCATATCGGATATAGCAACTGATATGGCCCAGCATTTCACAATATCATGATGATTTACTTCGCCAAGAATGGGCTATATGGTCGAATATGTAAGAGAAAAGGCATAAGGATTATTTAACATTTTTATCTTTTTTTTTAAGTTAAATTATTTGGGAAAGCTTTGTATGTTCTCCTTACAACATAAAAGTTCTATCCTCCCTCTACTATCCAGCCATCTTTTTTTTTTCAAGAGAGGCGCTCATCATTTGATCTTAGATCCGACGTCTCAAAGTATTTTATTTTTAGTTTTTTTAATACAATTTTTCTGTATATGAAATTTGGTACGTGCCATCTTTTCATTGGGGCACACCTATAAAAAATATTAACAATAATTTTTTGAAAAAAATTAATGACCAAAATACCCCTGACATTGAAAATAATTTTTTTATATTTTTCGTTAGTGCGAGTTTAATAGATGAATGGACGTCCAAAATTTGGTCTCAAAACAGTTTATAGAAAAAAATTGAAAATAAAAAAATGTAGAGACGTAACATTGTGATTGGGGCAATCTTCGCCCTCCATTAAAAAATGGATGGTTGGATAAGGGGGTAGGGGGAACATAAAAAACTTTCCCAATTTATTTAACATATAAAAAATCTAATGAAAATACACATGAGTTGGAATAGTTGGGAATGGGTGAAATGATAAATAGTTAAAAAATTAGGTATATTTTGATAAATTTCCTATAAAAGGCCGTAATTTTAAAGTATATTAGCTTATGCAAGACATGATGTAAAGTCCAACCGAATGAGATTCAAAAGTTTAAAATGAAGGATAAAATAATTTTTATGTATGTTATAGTTCCATCTATTTTGTTATTTCTAATAATATCACTTATTAATCTCAAACATATCACTCAATACTCCCTTCGTAATTTCCTCATTTTCAGAAGATGTGAATACCTATTCAACAAATAATAATAAAAAATGGCTTTTCAGAGAAAGGAAAATTGTTTCATAGGCTGAACTGCATTCTACATGTGTGGTCTAGATTGTGTAAAGCATTCATCTTAAAGATGGATGCAAGTAGGTGTTTCATTTTAAAACAATGGAAACTAACGGTTCAAATGTTTTCTTACTATAATCATTATCTCTAGTTTTTAAATTTTATTTATTTATTAATATTCGTGATCTCCATATTAGAGATTACATATCTTTAAAAATTAAGTCTTAAAATCCATTTCAAAAATAGATTTATTAAGAGTCCCGCATTTCTATATATGCGGGCTTGGCCGCATAGAAACCAGGTCCTAAGTTATGATACCGGATATTACTGTGGGAGAGGACGGTGGAGGGGCCATTAGCCATATTTAGGGTTGGCAATGGGCCGGGTCGTTTGGATATGAGGTTATGCCAGGGATGTCCCGGTTTCCCCGGCCCGTCCTCTTTTTTTGTTT